AATGATATGCTTCTATTGTATTATTTTTGTTACAATTTATTAGTGATTTTCTGAAGTATAATAAGAATTTTAAATTTTCTTTGTATTTGAGGAAATTATTGGAGAATTTTATTATAAATAAACAATCTTTTAGGTGAAATCTTTTATTTTGTATATTAAAAGACGTGGTTTTTTCTAAATAACTTTTTTAAAAATATTTATATTAAACTTTTTTATGTTATTTTATATGTATTTTTAAGGAAAATATTTTATGTGACAATTGCCATATTCGTTTTTTTAAACATTTTTGAAACTTTTTGACATATTTATATTGCAAAGAGGTTAAATTATAAATTCAATGAAGATGTAACTTATAAAAGTGACAATTGTCATAATCGTTATTTTTAAAGATATTAGATTTTTTTTGACGATAATGGACAAAAATAGGTTTTTAACATGTTAAATTAAAATTTTAATTAAGATGTAACATATAAAAGTGACAATTGTCATAATCGTTATTTTTTAGGTTTTTTGAATTTTTTTGACGCAAATGGGAAAATTAAAGCTATTTTTAAATTTTAATTACATATCAACCCCAATAGAAAGCCAGACGGAAACAGAAACTTTGTCGAAGCAAGAAAAGGCAAGAGCAAAGTCTTATTGCTTTAACATCCAACCATTTTAAAGATACTGCAAGTAAACAATTAAATTGTTCCACTGAACACTACTGTGGGCCATTAAATGTTCTATCCTCATATTGTAAATCATTAAATTTTATTTCTGAAAAATGATGGATATTTTAAAAATTGCTGCCACAAAGGTCGTGTTTTATTGCCTTCTCTACAATATCCAGATTTTTTAAAAGATTTGCTTTCAAATTTGGATAATCCTTATTATAAAAATTTCTCTCATAATATTCGTTCATACAACAGTTCCTTGGCTTTTGCTTCGATAAGGGCTAAAAATGATAATTTATTGAATAAAGGTCCATAATGTTTTAGGGTTCATGGTCAAATTTATCATCGAACTTCACATTTATATCCTCCTAATGGCGTTTCCCCAAAATATACACAATAATATGTTCTTGAAACATCTCAGGCTATTGAAAATCGTTTACTTTTAAAAGAAAATTCAGCCTGATATTCATTTGTTAAAAAAAACTTGATATTTTAATTCGTTAAATAAATCCTTATGCTATTAGCTTTAAAACATTGGGTGAGGTTGAGAAGTCCGAAGAAATGAAGGTTCAGTTAGAAAGCCGTCCTATATCAAAGGTAAATATGATTTTTCGCCGTGATCGTGCCAATGATAGAAGAAGATTTAATATTCCTACTATTGATGAAGTAGCAATGATTTTTAACAACGATGATGGAGAAACACCTTGTGATGTTAAAATTTATCCACGAAATGATGATTCAAATTTAGTTATCTTAAATATTCTTAGCCCAAATTTAGATCCTATGGTATATCATTTACTATTTCCTTATGGTGATCATGGATGGCATACTGATACTATTTAATTAATTTTGCCAGATTAAGTAAAAAAAAATCTTTACTGGGATTCGCCAATATAGCCTAACCATTTTATCAGAGAATTAATATTTAGATTTTCACATCAATGTTTAAATTATCAAATATTTCTTACAATAAAGATTTTATTGAAGAATGGATATATTTGAATTTTATACAATTATATATCCTTTTAGGAAATTTTTATGCATAAGTAAATATTTGCATTTATATGATTACTAACTGATAGTTTGACAAAAATTAGAATTTTCTCCTTAATTTGATGATGGATGAATTAAATTAAAAGCCATACTTTATGAATTATCACTTTTATGAAATAACTTAGGTCTGTAATTTTGCAACTTGGTAAATCAATGAAATTTTTATTATGGAAGCAGATTTTGGTTTTGTTATTTAATACAACTCAATTGCCATTAGCATAGCTGATATTTTTAAAATTTTGCCTTTATTGGTTTCGTATAGGTTATTCCATGTTATTCATGCAACTTTCAACTGAATACCTCTCTTATCTTTTCTGAAGATGGCTTTTTACATGCATTCCATAGTTTTGTATATTTTCATCACTTCATAATTGTTGAATGTAAGTTATTCAAATAACTTATTATAACATTTTTGATTAAATGTATAACCTTTTTGTTTTACTTTTATATAATTTGACTATGATTAAATTAACCTCCTATTATTTGTTAACTTAGAATATCTTTTTATTTTTGAATTTAATAACAAGGTCTTAAATTTAATTTTATATTTTGTACCTAAGTAATAAATCACATATTATTTGGAGAAGTGGTTGTCTGTTTAAAATTTAAATTAGGATGAACATTTTTAACTAATTTATAAAAGGCATGGTACTTTATTATGTATTCATGAATTTCATAAATATGCCAGGAGTTAAACAGTAGGGGTGGTAAATCAGATATATCCCCTGAATTTGATAATAAATTATTTTGAAAAATTTTCTCAATATAGGATGGCAAAAAATGTACATATAAGAAGACAGATTAAATTCTTATAAACCCCTTACATTGGACCTATTTTTATGGATCCAAGGAAAAAATTAAATATTATGGGTTTCGCTGGGCTTGGGAAATATTTTCCACAATTAATATGGGCTTGGACCTGGCTTGGGAAAAAATTTTCATTATTATAATCATATGCTTAAAAAATTTTTAATTTTAAATATGGGTTAGACATTGGCAGCGTCTACATGACAGGATTTTCACTGGATGCAAACCCCCTTCAAAAATCATTACCTACCCCCCTACAAAAATTCCGCCGCCTTCAGCGGCGGTTTTTCTTTATTATTATACCTATTTATTTATTAATACTCTTTTCAAAGAATTTATAAAAGATAACTTAAATTAATCTATCTCTACTACCAACTATCGATATTTTGTGAATATAAAGAATTTATTTTTTAGATAATAAATTCAATTAAAACCTCCATTATTTACAATGAATTAATTATATAGGCATTATGAGCTTGCTGAAATATCTAAACCTTTTAAATTACATTTAAAAGGATAGTTTATTTGGAAAACAATGTGTATGATTGTTTGCAATATATAGATTTGGTCGATGAATTGTATTATAATAATACTATAATAAAAATATTAATTTTTACAGCAATATATTTTGTCCTATTTCATCTCAAAATTTAATAGATAACCCCCAAAAAAATTTATCCTACCCCCATTAAAGCAGCTTACCCCCTATTCCTCAAAAATAGGATGCAAAATGTTCCTACCCCTCCCGCTCTGGACATTGGCCTAAAAAAATTTTTAAAGACATGGCCAGGCTTGATCAAAAAACCAAAGCTCATGCTCAAAAAAATAGTATTCACTCTTAGTCTTAATGGGTTGGCCTTGGTCTAAAGTAGGGGTGAGCTAGGTTAATAAGAATATAAAATAGATATGATTTTTAGAGATTTACCTATCACCAGGCTGGGAACAAATTTTGAAAATTACTATGGGTTGGGCTGGACTTGAAAATATTTTTATAAATTATTTTGGGCTGGACTTGGGGAAAATTATTCAAAATTACTATCAGCTTGGACGCCTGGGAATTTATTTGGTATTAACTAAGGGTCAGACAGTGGCCTAAAACAAATTTTTTTGCAGGCCTTTCTGATTCCCCGTCATTCTTGACGGGTTATCAGCTAGTACTAATAAAAAAATCCGGCCGAAAGCCGTGCAAAAGCGGGCTGAAGGCCCGCAAATTGAAAGGCATAGTTGGCGAAGCTCCTTATAAAAATTTTTTTTAGTTGAACCCCCTGAGATTGTAAAGGCTAGCGACGCCCCTGTGGTACATCTTAACTGTAACGTTAATATAGATATATATTTTTACTTATTTGCTTTGAAAAAATTCAAAAATAACGATTATGACAATTGCCATTTTCTATGGTACATCTTCATTGAAATTTTAATTTAGCATGTTTACAAAACATATTTTTACCTATTTGCTTCAAAAAAGTTCAAAAATAACGATTATGATAATTATCACTTTTCTATGGTACATCTTTATAATTTTAATTTCCCATGTTTGTTTTAAAAAAATTTAAAAAAGTTCACAAATAACGATGACAATTGTCACTTTTCTATTCATCTTCATTGAAATTTTAATTTAGCAAGTTTACAAAACATATTTTTACCTAACTTTAAAAAATTCAAAATAAAAAATAACTATTATGAAAATTGTCACTTCTATCATTTAAATTTTAATTTAACATGTATATTTTTGCCCTTGATCCAAAAAAATTAAGAAAAACAAAAAATTATTAAAAATAACGAATATAGATTTGTGACTTCAATGGCTTATTTTCTTTGATATCTCAAATAGTCGCAAGAACTAGACTAATTAACAACAGGGCCAAAAATTTGATTTAGTCGACTAAATTAGTAGATTAAGCAAGTAGACTAAATGGGTCGACTATGCCGACTAAATACATCAACTTAGTCGACTAAATTTAGTCGATTAACAACACTAATTGAGAACACTTCTATAAATGGCTTGTATAGCTAGTATCAAGGTCTGGACCAAGAAAATATTTTTTGATTGCTGAGTAATGATCAACAAGATAACGCATATAAACCAAAAAATATTTTTAAATTCCTTTACATATTTTTTGAAATTCAATATTTGTTTTTTTGGTGTAATTTAGTTGTTAACAACTTCTTTTTCTTCTTCTCCGTTTTAAGGCGATTTCCAGGTTTACCCGGAGGTCAGTTTTCCCTCTGATTTTTCTTTTCCATTTTTGACGGTCCTGAGCATCAATATTTGTAAGATTCATGCTTCTCATATCCGCCGCTATCACATTTGTCCAAGTCATCTTGGGTCTTCCTCTAGGTCTTGATCCTCCTACTTCCATCATTGTGCATCTCTTTACCCAGTCATCTTTTGTCATACGTTCCACATGCCCAAACCATCTTAGTCTATTTCGTCGCATTACCATTCCAATCATTTCTACACCCAATCTTGCTCGCAATTCCTTGCTAGTTTTTCTCTCTCAGAGATACCCAACATATCCATCTAATCATCCTCATCTCTGTTCTTTCTAATTTGACTTCGTGAGTCGCTTTCATTGCCCATGTTTTGCCGCCATAAACTAAGCAACTCCTCACACAGCTTCCGTAAACTTTCCCCTTTAACTTCAGAGAGACTTTTTTATTTGTAAGAATAGACGACATCTCTCTGAACTTCTCCCAAGCTTGTCCGATCCTAGCAAAAACGGCAGAATCTACACCACAATCTGCGTTTAGCATATCACCTAAATAACCAAACTTATCCACTTTTTTTTCAAGGGTTAACCCATTGACAATATCCAGACCACCATTTTCTAGGTTATCATTATTATGTATCCCTTTCATGCATGTTTTACAAATAAAGGTCATTCTTTCTAACATCAAAACTTCCTTTTTTCCCGCTACATCTATTATGTACCCATTTCTGGCATCTGGTGCATTGGATAGAATTTCTAGCAACTCCTTTCCCACATACACCACAAGGCCACTTAGCGGATTCCTTCATCTTTAGATTTTCTCCACCAATCATCACCTTTGTCTAAGATGCATTCATTTTCAGGCCCTTTGCTTCCATAGTCATCTTCCATTTACTAATGTTATCCCTCAATTCTTCCTCACTGTTTGCCATTAATACAAGGTCATCTGCATATAATAGCTCCCAGGGAAGTCCTTCAAGCATTTCTCTAGCCACCACATCCATTTACTAAGATAAATAATAGTGGTCTCAGCATGGACCCTTGATGAAGTCCTACCTCCACCTCAAAGCTGTCACTATCACCATAATCCATCGTACCGCTGTTTGTGCTCCAACATATATTGCCATCACTGCGATAACCAACCTTTCCTCCACACCTGATTTACTCAAGGCCCATCTAGTAACCTCACGCGGCACCCTATCAAATGCTTTCTCCAAATCAACAAACGCATAATAGTTTCTTTTCCTTCGCAAGATACTTCTCCTGCATTTGTCTCACTACAAAAATTGCCCTTTTCCCGATATAAAACAAAACTGCATTTCATCAATTTTAATTTGTTCCCTTATCCGCTTCTCTAACACTCTCTCAAATAATTTCATTGCTTGTTCCAAGAGTTTAATAGCTCTGTAAGACCCGCAATCTAAAGGATCACCTTTCCCCTTGTATACTGGGATAATTATACTTCTTTGCAAGTCCTCGGGAATAGTTCCTTCTGTGACAATTTGATTGGCTAAATTCATTAACCATTCAATCCCTAAATCATCAGAACCTTTAAACATCTCTGATAACACCATCGTTAAACCAGATGCCGTCCCTTTTTTCATCTTTTTCACTGCTCTCTTTATCTCGTCCTTGCCAAATTTAGACCCTGGACCTTCTACCTTGGCACAACTAACATTATCCCATTCCTTTTCTTCATTCAAAAGTCCTTTCATGTAAATCTTCTAGGTATTCTTAATACCACTACTATCAATCACCATTTTTCCTTCCATATTTTTCAAACATTTTACACCTATCACATTCTGCCCCTTTTTGACATCTGCTTTGCCATTCGAACCATATTTCCAATTCCATCAGCGCATTCCATTTCTTTAACAAACTCGTGTCTTTTTTCTTTTTGAGCCTTCGCTATTAATTTCTTAGCATTTCTTTTAGCCATCTTCTAAATTGAAACACCTCCGTTTCTCATCTACAGCTTTCGCTACCTCCGGGTTCCAACACCAAGTCTCCTTATGTCTAGGCGGCCCTTTTGTCCAAGCACATACCTCCTCAGTTGTCATCACCCAGGCTTTCTTCATGACTTTTCACTTGTCATTTACCCTAGATGCTTGTGCCACCTCCGCCTCCCTAATCGCCAATGTCATATTGAATTGACGTCTAGCACTCTCCTCCGTCAATTTCCAAACCTTCAGCCTTGGCACAAACTTTCTTTTAGTGACCCTGGCACCTTTAAGAGTGAGATCTCCTACAACTAGTCGATGCTGATTTATACATTCCTCTCCCGGTATCACTTTCACATTTTTTACTATACATCGATCACATCTCCTTAATAACAAGTAATCCACTGCACTTTTGGTACTACCTGACTTATAAGTCACCAGCTTCTCTAATTCTTTCTTAAACATTGTATTACAGACAATCATATCCATAGCGCCACTAAAATCTAAAATCCTCTCTCCTTCCAAATTTCTCATGCCGTAACTGAACCCTACATGTACTCCTTCATAACCCTCACTACTCGCTCCCACATGTCCATTCAGATCACCAGCCAGGATAATCCCCTCTTCATTTGCTAGTCTCGATGTCACCCCCAATAGACTGTCCCAAAATATATGTTTCTCTTCTTCACTTCTTACAACCTGAGGAACATATGCCGAGATAGCAACATACAAAAATAGTTACTGATACTTATCAATCAAAATTGATTAATAACCTTTTTTTAAATAGGATATTAAAAGGTTCAAACTGGTTCACTTACTTTTTTAGAGGCTTGACTCAGATTGGGGTGACAATTATTCTTCTCTAAATAATATGAGTTAATAAAGGTTTAATGGTTCTCAATCTTTGATTATAGTAACATACCTATTTATATCAAAAAATTAATTAAAATATTTAATGACAATGTTTAATACCAAATATAAAGGTAATGAATGTATCAATGAACTTAATCACCCCAGCAATTCTATATTAAAAAGAAAAAAAAATTAATTTTATTTAAAATAATACGAAAGATTTTATAATCCTGAATCTCTGATGCTTAAATATTTATCGAATAATTTGAGGGTAGTTATCCCAAGATGGCGCTCGCAAAGGCTCATATCTCCGAATCTAGAGAAAATTTTGATTTATACAAAACTCTAACATAATAAGGATTAAGTTTCATCAATTTTAAGTTAGAATTCAAAACACTGGTTAATTTCAAGTGAAATCGATTACACATGTTGGAAAACCTTAAACACTATACAAAGGTGTATAGATTTATATCTAAATGACTGAATAGGAATTTAATTTTAATAGCTCAAGTTTTGGAACACTATTAATCTTTATTAACAGATTATTTAATAATTATGAAGCTATATATACAATATATACAAATTTACATTAATAAAATGGGTTTAAAGGGTGAATATATCTTTATCCTGATGACTCCTCAGAATCAAACAAATGTTGTATTCGTTTAAACGTTTCTTTATCGGCATTATCTTCACCACTACATATTTTTCTGAAATTTTCAAGGTTGGAATCTACATTTGCATATAAGCTATTTACGTTTTGTCTTTTAGATCTTTTGCCTATTTGTGTTTATAAAAAACATTTTTAGTTTATTCATTCATATTCATGAGAATATTTAAATTTGAAATGATATAATATTGAAAACTCCTTACGGTGTCCTAACCGATCTTACCTTGATCTTGTTAGGTAGTTCCTATAAAAATTTGGGTCGAAAGTGCAAAAAATTATTGTTTGGTGTGAGCATATTACGATAATGAAATTTTTTTTTACCCAACCCTCACCATTCTCGTCAGCCCTGGTTGTATTTCTTATTCGCTTATTTTTCTTTTATAATCACAATTTAAAAAAAACCGTTAAGTCCTGGACTAAAATGAGCAAACTAGTATTTACCGGTTAGAGATCTGCAATAGGAGAGTGAAAAAAATTAAACAATGACAGCACAGGTGAAAATAATTTTAAAATCATGGGCGGTTAGTGAAATATTTTAGGCACAGGATGGGTTTATATTTATCAAAAATAATTCTTTATTTCAAAATACTATATATTTTATAAATTATAATAAATATAGCCTCTTATAGAGATATTAGGGTTCAAAGTGGCAAAAATGACGCATTTTTATCATTATCTGCCTTCAATTCAATTAAACATCTTAAAATTACACAATAATAAATAACAAATTTAACATCAATACAAAGATTATATTTTTAGATAAAATAAATTTGATTTTTACAATTTCCGGCCATTTTATTTAATATATAAGAATTAAAAAAGACATTTTGGAAATAATGTTACCTTCAATTTTTATAATTAGCAGACATTAGTAAATTCCTCTTTTATATTTATAAAATTAATTCGGTCTGGGACGATAAAATAATTGAAAAATGTAAAAATATTTTTCCTTATATATTACATATTAATCAGTCTTTAATGGTTTTTCTCAGTTGTTAAAGTAGCGCGCTATCTTTTTTGGTAATGATAGCTAATAGCGCGCTACTTTTTTTTCAATTATAGGGTTTCCCATTCAAAAAAGGAAAAGTTTTAATCATAAAAGGAAAAGGTTCGATCAAAAAAGGAAAAGGTTCGATCAAAAAAGGAAAAGGGTCAATCATAAAAAGAAAAGGTTCAATCAAAAAAGGAAAAGGTCCAAATAAAAAAGGAAAAGTGTCAATCAAAAAAGGAAAATTCCCAAAAAGAAAGGAAAAAGTCCGATCAAAAAAGGAAAAGGTCCAATCAAAAAAGGAAAAGTGTCAATCGAAAAAGGAAAATTCGCAAAAGGAAAGGAAAAATGTCAATCAAAAAAGGAAAATCCTATTTAAAAAAATCATAATTTTTTTTTTAATTTTTCTTAAATTTTTATTTATTTTTGTTATTCCTTCTTAATTAATTTCTAAATTTTTGCGATTTCTTTTATCAAAAATGAGAAGAAAAATAAATTGAGAGAAGATATAGGGTCATTCTATGACAAATCAACCACGATTCGGCCGACCCACTTCGATTTTTTTAAAATTTGGTAAGCAAAGAAAGGTCAATGTAACTAAGAAATAGCCAAAATTTTAGCCTCCTAACATTTATATTTTTGAAGATATTAGGGGTGGCAAAAATGACGTATTTTTACTATTATCTGCCTTCATTCAATTAAGCATATCTTAAAAACTACATAATTGTAAATAACAAATTTAATATCAAAAATACGTATAAAGATTCTACTTTTAGATAAAAAAAAAAATTTTATTTTTTTTTCCAATTTCCAATCATTTTATTAATACGACCTTCAATTTTTTAAAAAATTTAGTAGACCTTTATATTTATAAAAAAAAATTGGTCTGGGACGCGGCCATCTTCATTCTCAAAATCGATAAAAATGTTTAGAAAAGTGTATAAATATTTTCCCGAAAGGGGGCGTCTTTGTATAAAATTATGTATTAATCAGTTTTTAATAATTTTTCTTGAACTATTTGATATAATTAAAAGGATTATTCATCTTGTAAGTAAAAATAATAATAAATGGGGCTTTCTTTCAATTATAGAAATTGTCTATCGATAAAATAAATTCAATTTATTACTTTATTTACAATTTATTATAAAAATTTTTGCCCATTTAACATATATTTAATAAATATTAATAAAATATGTTCAATTAAGTTTCGAGTTCTTGAATATATGAATCAGAATCTTGTGCATTTCATATATGGCGCCCTAAATATTAAAAAAATTGATATAATTTAAATTTAAACTCACTTTTAAAATATTCTAATTTTTCGGTAGCGCATTTACTTTCTTGTGACGACAATGTATAACTACGGCCAGTAGCATTTAACAGTGAAACTAATGTTAAGATATGACATTTGGGCAAGCAAAAAGTGTCGTCTATACTTGGAAATGTAAAGGAATTAGAAGGTTCGGATGGGTGTAAAAACTTTATATATATTTCTTCCTGCTTTTGATTTTTCACTAAAACAAAGCTAACCACCAATTAGAATCATAAGGATGCGTTAGGTATCCTGATATTTCTTTAATAATTATACTTTCATCATTAAATGATAATTATTCTAAAGTAATTTCTATTGAATTGGAATGCAATTTACTTTTAAATTGATGTAGATCTGTTGGAATCAAGGTGTGTATTTTGTGTGTTCCAGGCATAGATCTAGTTTTTGAAAATCTTTCCCTGAGTAAGAGATCTTCGTAATCATAATTTATTTTGGTCATCTATTCAAAATATATGACATTAATATTTTCTTTAACTAACTCGTACAATTCATATGATGTGTACTTTGAGTAAGGCCTTGTAAACTAGCTCTAGTGGCTAATCTGTTAACAGTGCCACCAATCCCATCACAAACACTTTTCCCGTGTGCTGTAGCAGAAAAATGCCATTTCGCCTGTACCCCGAAATCCATCTCATGATGGCAAATATTAATAAAATTTTTACGATTTTTATACTGTGCAGCGGATCTACCGAAAAATAAAAAATTTTATTTGGCCTACAAATTTTATTAATTAAAAAATTTACCAATGTTTTTGAAATTATGTACTGCTATTGTATTGTGTTGCAAAGATTCGGATATCATTACATAATTTAGGCAACAAATATTGGCAAAATTATCTTTATAATATATAACAAAAGGGTGAGCAGTGGATTGAGCCCTATTCCAATGATAATTTTTCATCCTCAAGTATAAAGCTATAGTTTTCTTAAAAATCACAAAATTAAATATTGGCCTTCATCTAAGTTCAATTTTAGATTGTTTTGATACAACGATTGTTGCGTTGAAATAAAAAAAATGGAGTAATAAAGATTCCATTTTTTCAAAAAGGCATTGATAAATTCACCTACTGGTTTGGTTATTGTTTTAAGAGTAGTTCTATCTACGGATAGCCATTGTTTGTATGTTATAAATTAGATGTCCTTAGAACGAAACAATATTTCTATTTGATCGCGTAAATGTGTTGACTCTGGACAATTATCACATTTGCCCATATAACTGGATGGTTGAGGCGAATTACAAATTAAGTGCAAAATATGATTTTGTGTTTTAAAGGGCAACATATCATTGGTTAAATTTGATCCAATGATCATTATTTTAAAATTTTGGTGGTAGCTGCAATCACATACATGTGTACCACTATCTCCAACGAGTATACAATTTTGGGCGAATGCTTGCGAATTTCGAAAAACCAATTTTAACATCAGGCCTCATTTCTTTAAAAATATATAAATTTTTTTCAAATTATCTAAAATTAATCTCTTATGTATGGTATGGTATTCTTTTTTCCGTCTTTGGTCAAAATCGAAATGCAATCTTTCTTGCCTGGCAAGATTCTGCTTATTTCGTCCATACAATAAAATTCTTGTACAATTTTAACTGTATATTTGTCTATAGTTTTTCCAGGCTTGGGGTTAGGTGTTAATAGAAATCAAAATACCAAGAAATTAATTAAAAAATGAATTAATATAGTGAGCATGTGTTATTGAATGATTAAAACCCTTTCGTACCGGGAATATTTCCCATGAACAAAAAATACTTGTACTTTGATATAATAAAATAATGATTTTGACATTTTGATATAATAAAATAATGATTTTGACATTTTGATGTAATAAAATAATGATTTTGACATTTTGATATAATAAAATAATGATTTTGACAGGTTAATGATAAAATACGAAATAATAAATATTGTTTTATAAATTAATATCTCTAAGTACCAACCATTAGTTTCTTTAAATATAAAAATTAATTGATTAAAAATTTAATGACAAATGATCTCGCTGAGCGCGAAAGGGTTAATCAATTTTAAATTTTTTATTTATTTTATTGATTGAAACACTTATTTATTGTTATTCTAATTTAGTAAGGCTATGCCGATTTTAGAAAATCCGATCCAATATTTATATTGTTTTGGGTTATTTTATGATAATACTTTTATTTTGTATATAATTTCATAATAATAAATTAATATTTGTATTATATCAAATTATTTAAAAAAATTGAGTTGAGAAAATTTTGATATTATTTTTGGCGTCTATGAAATGAACAAGATTCTGATTCATATATTCAAGAACTATAAACTTTGTTGAATATATTTTATTAATATTCATTAAATATATGTTATATGGGCAAAAAATTTTATTAATATTCATTAAATATATGTTATATGGGCAAAAAATTTTATAATAAAGTAATAAATTGAATTTCTTTCATCGATAGACAATTTCTATAATTGAATGAAAGCCCCATTTATTGTTATTTTCACTTACAAGATGAATAATCCTTTAAATTATATCAAATAGTCCAAGAAAAACCATTAAAAACTGATTAATATATAATTTTATACAAAGACGCCCCCTTTTGGGAAAATATTTATATACTTTTCTAAACATTTTTATCGATTTTGAGAATGAAGATTACCGCGTCCCGGACCAATTTTTTTTTATAAATATAAAGAAAGAGTTTAATAATGTCTACTAAATTTTTTAAAAAAATTGAAGGTCGTATTATTTCCAAAATATCGTTTTTAGTCCTTATATATTAAATATAATGGCCGGAAATTGGAAAAAAAAATAAAAAAAATTAAGTAGAATCTTTGTACGTAATTTTGATATTAAATTCGTTATTTACAATTATGTAATTTTTAAGATATGCTTAATTGAATGAAGGCAGATAATGGAAAAAATACGTCATTTTTGCCACTTTGAACCTTAATATCTTCAAAAATATAAATGTTAGGAGAAATTTTGGCTATTTCTTAGTTACATTGACCTTTCTTTGCTTACCAAATTTTAAAAAAATCGAAAGAAGTCGGCCGAAAATCTCATTTTTTTGCTCATTTGACGTGGAATGACCCATAGTAAGAAAAATAAAAATAAAGAAAATCGCAAAAAGTTAGAAATAAATTGAAAAAAGATCAGTAAGAAAAAAAACGTAAAGAAATCGCAAAAATTTAGAAATAAATTAAAAAGGAATAACAAAAATGAATAAAAAATTTAAGAAAAATTGATAAAAAATTACGATTTTCCTTTTTTGAATGGGAAATTTCCTTTTTTGATTGACACTTTTCCTTTCGGGAATTTTCCTTTTTCGATTGACACTTTTCCTTTTATGATTGACCCTTTTAAAAATGAAAATATCCTGTCTTTGGTTAGTCAGCAATAAAATTTAACATAATCCATATTTTGTATAACGCCATCTAAAAGAGATGGCGTTATACAAAATATGAATTTCAATTTTTGGTTAAAAAAGCATATTCCAAAAAAGCCGATAGGGTGGCCAGGGTTTTTACTATATATTTATAAAAGCAACCATTATCCTTGGTGGATAATGATTCTTTTATAAAGATGATAAACACTTTTTCTCCACGGACCAAGATATTTTGCTGGCAGACATTGATGGCAAGAATTTTGGAGAGCTTAAAGGAAATGAAAGAATCTTTGATATTAAATCTATCAGATGTCTCCTACGTCTGTACAACGGCAGATTGCTGGACTCACAATAGAAGGTAAAAATGTTTATTTTCTCATTTATAATATGTCATATTAGAGCTTATTTAGGAGTAACTGCACATTGGATTGATCCTAAAAATCTTAAACGAAAATCTGTAGCGTTAGCTCTAAAGAGAATAATTGGCTGTCAGACTTATGACATTCTATCCAATAATATTGCAGAAATCCATAGGTCTTACAAAATTCAAAACAAGGTTTGTAAGATGATTACGGATAATGGGTCTAATTTCCTGAAGGCCTTCAGGTTTTAAATTTATTATAATTTTTTTATAATATGATATAAATAATATAGAATATTTGGGGAAGATAATAATAATAACAATACTAGTAATATTCCTGACAAAAATATTAAAGATGGAGAACAAGAAGAGGATGATGAAATGGAGTTTGAGATAATTGATGTTCATGACATCCTTGGTTTTAAATTATTTTATATTTAATTTTTCACCAATATAAAATAAAATTTATAATATTTAGGATCTTCAATAAAGTCTTCTATGTTACCTAGCCATCATCGTTGTTCCTGCTACAACCTAAATTTAGTTGCGACAGTGGATGCTGAAGAAGCATTATTAAATGAGGATTTTAAAAGAGTATCAAGATCTACATTTTCTAAATGCCAAGCTCTTTGGAATAAACAAAATAAGTAATCAAAGACGTCTGATATTTTCAAAATAAAATTAGGACGTTATTTATTGACACCAAACACTATAAGATGAAATAGTGTTTACAATGCTATGAAACTTTTAGCATTGTTTCTAGATGAGAAAAAAATGGAAATGAATTATATTGGATCAAATGGGAATACAGTATTTTAATGTGGAGGAGCATACTTTTATTAAAGAATATACTGAAGTATTTTTAATTAATAAATAATATTATATTATATTTAACCATTTTAATTTTTATGCAATATGTTGCTGCCTCACTTAAAATCTTAGAAGGGCAAGATAATATGAGCATATGTGCCCACACTGAGTATATTAATTACCAAGCTCAAAAGAATCAATAATCTAAAATTTTGCCAACCACTGGTAGAGTCTATGCTAAAAGGCATTGAGAAAAGGTCAAAACTTTATTTTTATTTACTATTATACAATTATATAAAATGAATGATTTATTGCTTGATTAGCCATAATTTAAATTGGTTTAATTTACAACACAATCTATAATATTAATATAAAGTAATTATTAATTAATATTATATTCAAAATTAATATATTATTAATTACCTTGTGTATAATAATTATATTTTTAAAATTTTTATTTACCATAATTTATTGCTATTTTAATATATTTTTTATAAATGAATCTAAATCTCAGATAAATTTAAATTTTAAAAATTAAAATGGTATTATTCTTTTTTATAATAAATACAATCGCTTTATATAAATTAGATTTCCAGATCTGTATGGTGATGATAATGTAATAGCTGCTATCGTTCATCCTAGTTTCAAGTTAAATTGGCCATACATTAATTTGACTGAATCTAAAGGGCAACTTGATAGGCTGATGGTAACGTTAAAAAATGGCATGCCTAACCACGATACTATAGCAAGATCGAAACCGCAGCCTTCCATAGACGATTTTTTTGAAATAAATAATAATAATATTATTGAACCTCTAGATGCTTTTTTTAAATCTAAAAATACTAATTTAAATATTTTTGATGATTTTTTTCATATAAAAAGTTTGTTTATTAAATTTAATACTGCGTTGCCCTCAAGTGCTAGTACTGAACGATTATTTAGTATGGCAAAGTTTATACTTTCTGATCGTCGCTTTAGACTTGGAGATGACAGTACCGAAATGTTATTATTGTAGTATTATGTAAATTTAAGATGGTACGAAATTTAACATTTTTATAATTTTGTTATTATGTATATTTAACATTGTACGAAATTTAAGATTTTTATATTTGAATAATAATAGTTTAATATTTATATGTTTATACTTCGAAAATTGGTAATATTTGTACTAGATTTAAGATTTACATATTTGAATAATGAGATTTTAATTTTTATATAGTTGATTCTTCGAAAATTGTTTAATTTTATATATATATATATATATTTTTAATTCTTCGAAGTTCAGTTTTGGATAATTTGGATTCTTCGAAAATTATTTTATTATTTATTAATTGATGATATTTTGAAAATAAAATTAATAAAAAAGGAAAGAGTTAATAAAGAAAAGGTACTCAAGGAAAGATTTAACAAACTTTGGATTCTTAATTGCTCTCCCACTACTGATTAAACACCCTGAGTTAAGTTCGGATTTATAACAATTTGGACCGAAGTAAATCAGGGCCTGTTAGATATTCACGTAGGAATTCAAAGGTAAAAACAAATCTATTTTATGTTATGTAAATTATTATTACTTTTATTTATTATAGTAGTAATTTTATATTTATACAATTTTTTTAAATTATTTAAAATTATTTTAATCAAGTGGTTATTGAGTACACTTTAATGTATATTACGCAAATAAATTTATTAAGTTTAATACTTGAAAATATAAGTATAATTATATTTTTGGTGCTAATTTTAAGTTTCACGTTAGGTTTAATTATAGGAAGAAATACGACTTACGTTAAGATAGAGATTAAAGAGTTAGAAAATATTAAGAATATATTAAGAGAGGAAGATAAGAAAAGAAATATAAACAACTTCATACGAACGGATAATTACAGACAGATAATTTGCTATAGTTGTGGTCAGCCGGGCCACATGTCGCGCCAGTGTGAGATAACGAAGAATCTAAGATGCGCGAGGTGTGGCAAGAATGGCCATGTGGCTATAAGTTGCAGAGTAAACAATTCAATTGTAAGGTGCAATAGTTGTGCCCAAGAAGGACACACACAAGAAAATTGCAATAAATGACTAAGAGAGAAATATTTTAATTTTAATGATAAATTTTGTAAGGATAATAATTTTTCTAATGTTGATAATTTTAATTCAGGTTATAAATATGTTATTTTGAATGATAAATTTTGTAATGATAATAATTTTTCTAAGGTTGATAATGTTAATTCAGGTAAGAATAAATATTTTAATTTTAATGATAAATTTTGTAATGATAATAATTTTTCTAATGTTGATAATTTTAATTCAGGTAAGAATAAATATTTTAATTTTAATGATAAATTTTGTAATGATAATAATTTTTCTAAGGTTGATAATTCTAGTTCAGGTAAGAATAAATATTTTAATTATAATGATAAATTTGGTAATGATAATAATTTTTTTAACGTTGATAATTTAGTAGAAAATAAGAATAAAGATTTTAATTTTAATAATGATAAGTTGGATAATGTTGATAATGCTAGTGCAAGTAAGAATAATTATGGTAATAAGAACGAGAAATTTTGCGATGATAAAAAGTGCTTTAACGTTGATAATTATAATTCAAGCGATATTAATAGAAGTGATATAAAGATAAAAAGTAGAGATTTTGAAATATATAGAATTAAAAAGGCAACTAGGGTAGACGTACTAAAAATGGAATTAGAGAATTTTTTAATGAAAAATAGATGCCCTAGAGTAAAGATAAACATGGAGGAAGCAGAAATTGGTTTTTTATTAGATACAGGAGCAGAAATTAGTTTAATAAGTATAAAGGATTTTATGAGATTTTGGCCAGAGAAAGAGTTTGTTACTAAAAAGATAAAAGCCAAACAATTGGATGGTAGCATGGTGAAAATTTTAGGGTATTATAGGGTAAGGTTACCAAGAGTTAATAAAAGTATAAATTTGTGGATAACGACGTTGAAGATTGAACCGATTTTAGGATGGGATGATATAAGAACGTTAGGTCCAGTTTATAATTGGTGGAAATTTTTCGATACTATCCCTGTAAGTAATGATGAAAATAGTGAAAGGATAGATTTCGATAGATTTAAGTTACCTATTATAGAGGATAAACAAGAATTAGTTCTCGATAAACTTAGAAATCGAACACCAGAATTTTTGATTAAATATAGAAGCAACTTAGAAGAAAATAAGAAAACAAGAGATACAAAGACAATAGAGGTAAATTCAGTCGAAATTAAACAAGAAATTAATAATATGGTAGACCAGAATGTTGTTGAAGATATTGTTGACAAAGAAATAAAGATTATTTTGAATAGGTATAATGAAGTCTTTAAAGAAGAATTAGGTACTCTGAAAAATTTTGAAGTAGATATACGATTAGAAGAAAATTATAGGCCTAAGTTTTGCGGCATAAGAAGATTACCGTTTTCCTGGATAGAAGAGATAGATAAAGAATTAGATAAATGGTTAAAAGACGGAATAATAAAACCAATAGTGCATAGTGAATGGGCAACACCTTTAGTGCCCATAGGAAAACCAGATAACAGTTTAAGATTGTGTATAGACTATAGAGTAACAGTTAATAAGTGCGTAATAAATGAAAAGTATCCACTACCTAGAATAGAACAACTGCTAGCGAATTTAAGAGGAGACACCCTGTTTTCAAAGATTGATTTTTCGAATGCTTATTTGCAAATTAAGGTGAGTGAAAAGACAAGTAAGATACTAACGATTACAACTCATAGAGGTTTGTTTGCATTCTGCCGATTACCTTTTGGTTTGAAAATATCAGCGCCAATATTTCAAAGAACGATGGCGGCGTTATTTCAAAGAACGATGGCGGCGTTATTTCAAGGAATAAAAGGAATAATGTATTATTTAGACGATGTTTTGATATCTGGTAGAACAGAAGAAGAACACAATTCGAGATTAGTTAAAGTGTTAGATATTATATTAGAAAATGGTTTAAAAGCTAATTTGAAGAAGAGCGTTTTTGGAGTAAAAGAAATAAAGTATTTAGGACATATTATAAAAGGAAATGAGATTACGCCAATTGTAAAGAATATTGATAAGATCATGAATATGAGAGCCCCGAATAATAAAGCGGAGGTACAAGCGTTTTTAGGAGCAACAAATTATTATCATCGGTTTGTTCAAAATTTTGCAGAAATTGCTACACCGTTGTATGATTTATTAAAGAAAAATAAAAAGTTTGAATGGGGAGAAGCACAGGAGAAAAGTTTCGAAAAGTTGAAAATAAAGATGGTAGAGAAGCCGATTTTAAGTTGTTTTAATGAGAAATTAAATATTATTTTAGCAGTAGATGCTTCTAATGAAGGTATAGGAGGAGTTTTGTTGCAGATGATAGATAATGTGGAGAAACCTGTTTTATTTTTATCGAGACGATTTAATAGCACTGAGAAAAATTACTCAACGATAGAAAGAGAGGCTCTAGCAGTGAAATTCGGGCTTACGAAATGTAAGGAATATCTGATAGGAAAAAGGTTTTTATTGTATACGGACCATAACCGTTGGTAGATATATTTAAAAAAGAGAATAAGGAACTTATGATTTCACCCAGGTTGCAAAAATGGCTAATTTTAGTTGGTAATTTCGATTTTGAAATAAAATTCAGAGAAGGTAAACAAAATTGCTTACCGGACATTTTATCAAGATTGTTTAATAAAGACATTGAAGACATAGAACCAGTAATCAATAGTTTAGAATATATAGAAGAAGAAGAAAATGTAAATTGTAATATTATAAGAGCGGTGAGAATAGATACAAGAGAAAAACCTATAACATTTGATATAGTAGATAAGATATCCCAAAAAGATGAAGAATTAATAAGAATTAAAGCTTGTTTAAAAGGAGATATAGAATGGAAAAATGAAGATAAAGCGTTTAAAAAAGTTAAGAGTGAATTAAATATAGAAGACAATTGTTTATTGAGAGGATATAGATTAGTGATACCGAATAAATTAAGAAAGGAAACCTTAAATGTAATACATTCAGGTCATCAAGGCATAGAAAGAATGAAAAATAAAGCAAGAGAATATATGTGGTGGCCTAAGATGAATAAGGAAATAGAAGAGTTAGCAAGGAGCTGTGAAACTTGTAACATGTGGGCTAATGTTCCAGCAAAGAATAAGGAAGATAAATGGCCAAAGACAGACATTCCATGCGAAAGAATACATGTAGATTTTTTAGAATATGAGAAGAAAAGATTTTTTATCATGGTAGATGCAGGTTCAAAATGGATAGATTGTCAGCAAGTTTCAGGTTTATCAACAAGAGTAGCTTTAGACAAGATAAAAGATTTTGTAGGCAAATATGGTTTGATGAAGACGATAGTATCAGATGGAGGTCCAGCGTTTAAAGGTAGAGCATTTGATAAATTTTGTGATAGGTGGAATATTAGACATTTATTATCACCACCTTATTACCCAAGAAGCAATGGACAAGCTGAACGAATGGTAGCGCTAGTAAAGAGTTGGTTGAAAAAGGCAAAATATGGAGAAGGTCAATGGTGGTTATCATTGTTAGCATACAACAGTACGGAAACAGCAAAAGGAAAGTCACCAGCTGAAATATTTTTAGGAAGAAAGACGAGATCAGAATTAGATTTTTTAAAGGAAAAAGTGATAAGGAGAGAACAAGCAGAGAGTGAAAGATTTCCAGTAGGAAGTTTGGTGTGGGTATTGTTGTTTGATGGGCCTATTAAATGGGGGAAGGGTGTAATAAGCAAAAATATAGGAAAGAAAAAAGTAGAAGTAAAGATTGAAGGACAAGAAGGAACCTTTACAAGGCACCTGAAGCAAGTAAGGTGTAGAAGCTTAAGGCCTTAGAGAGAAATGAGAATTATACGAAGAATTAGAAAAGAATAAATTGATGATAGACATAGTAGGAGAATCATAATTTGGAAAGGAATAACGTGATGATAGACATAGTAGGAGAATCATAATTTGGAAAGGAATAACGTGATGATAGACATAGTAGGAGAATCATACGTTGTAGGAAATAAAAGGGATGTTAGACTTAATTAGGAGAGTTATATTTTATAAAGAGTTAGAGAAGAAAGTTGAAGAATATATATATATATGTGTATAAAGTATTTTATTTAGATGGCCTCCTATGTTAGAGTGGGTAACAAGGTAATGAAGATAGAGATAAGAGAGGTTGATGGTTCAGAAGAATCCAACAGATGGGTAGAAGCTGCTAGGAACGAAGCGAAACAAAGATACGGAGATTGGCTACAAGAAACGCCAACGAGAGGGGGTCGCAGAATAGCGCCGTATACCACAAGAAGGAGAGTGGAATGCTGGGCGTGCGGGGGTGAACACAAACTTAGGTTTTGCCCAAGTATAGAGTTGACAACGAATAGTAATGCGAATGCACCAGGGAGGAACATGGTAACCGCGGCAAACTCGATGGAGTAAAGGGAGAATTAAAGGGGGGAGATGTAGTATTATGTAAATTTAAGAAGGTACGAAATTTAACATTTTTATAATTTTGTTATTATGTATATTTAACATTGTACGAAATTTAAGATTTTTATATTTGAATAATAATAGTTTAATATTTATATGTTTATACTTCGAAAATTGGTAATATTTGTACTAGATTTAAGATTTACATATTTGAATAATGAGATTTTAATTTTTATATAGTTGATTCTTCGAAAATTGTTTAATTTTTTATATATATATATATATTTTTAATTCTTCGAAGTTCAGTTTTGGATAATTTGGATTCTTCGAAAATTATTTTATTATTTATTAATTGATGATATTTTGAAAATAAAATTAATAAAAAAGGAAAAAGTTAATAAAGAAAAGGTACTCAAGGAAAGATTTAACAAACTTTGGATTCTTAATTGCTCTCCCACTACTGATTAAACACCCTGAGTTAAGTTCGGATTAATAACAATTATTATTAAAGTGCAATAATAAATAAATTATATATATATGTCAGAGACCTGCAGGTCCGGCCCTAAACCCGGCCCGGGCCGTATTTTAAATTTTTTAAATATACCCGGGCCGGGCCGGGCCTAAAAAAATTTTTTTTAACATATCCGGGCCGGGCCTAAAAATTTTTTTTTAATATATCCGGGCCGGGCCTAAGATTGTTAAACCCGGCCGGGCCGGGCCGGGCCTTAATATTTTTTATAAAAATTTTTACATTATGAGTTAATGGTTATAAGATTATAAGATTATATTATATTATAGTTATGATTAATATAATATTGGGTGATGGTTAACACTACCTAACACCCACGGATCGATCTAATTATTAATTTCCTGCAAATTTATTCAAAGTATTAATATATTTTTTATAATTCATATCTAAATTTTTACATCATATTTTACCAAAACAATCAAATAAAGGAATATCTTAAATAAGCCCCAATAATTCAAGTATTATTAATATATTTTTTTATAATTCATATCTAAATTTTTAGATTATATTTTACCAAAACAATCAAATAAAGGAATATCACTTCTTGAAGTTTGTAATACCTTTCAAAGCGAAAAAGGAGAAATAAAATTGATTTTACTTAATATAAAGCATTTTTTAATTGAAAAATTTGTTTTACACAAGTATCATTTTATTTCTCTTTTTCTCTTTCCCAAATTCAAGCAATTACGTATGTAGTCAGGGACAGATCGCAAGATGACGGAAAACTATATAAAAGATTATATTAAATTACAAGAGGCTCAGGAAGTAAATGAAATACCATCGACCAGTCAAATTACGACTGTTGTTAAACAAACTGAATCGTTTTATGACAAATGGGGCGATGGTAATTCTGGTAATATGTCAATACCCGATGATGAATATTATAATTACATAAATAAAAAAATAGATGAAACATTTAAGGTGGATAATTTGTTAGAGTGGTGGGCGGCTCATCAAAGCGAATTTCCAATTTTAAAAATTGGGAATTCCTGCTTCAAGTGCAAGCTGTGAGCGGAATTTTTCCACTACTGGGAGAATTCTTGAAGAAGGAAGAAGTAATCTTCAACCTGAAAAGGTAGATATGCTTCTCTTTCTTCATGATAATTTGTGAATTTTTAATATCTTTCTTGAGAATAGGATTTCGTCAATCATGCTGGTTTTTTACTTTGCAAACTGTCAAATATTTATTGCATTTATTATATTTACCTTGAGTCATGAAAGTTTTTAATCCAACATTTTTCATATTTTTTTTTTACAATATTATATAATACAATTATCTTCTTTTGTTAAAAATTTATATTATAAAATAAATTATATTAATATTGTGTAATTAGATTATATTTTCAAAATACTATTTATTATACATGCATTTTTTTAAATAGCGATTTATTTTTATTTTATAAATTAAATAGTAAATTCTCATGACTGGCGAACAGCTACGTATATCTATAGCCCTCCGCCTCGGCTGTAATGTCGTAGTTCCCTCAATCTGCATCGACTGTGGGCAGCCCATTGAATCGAAGGCTTACCATCCCTTGCACTGCAAGTTCTCCCGTGGACGACAACCTCGTCATAAATCTATCATTAACATTTTACTAGCCGCCCTCAAAAAAGTTAATATCCCATCTACCCTTGAACCAGTGGGTCTTTCAAACGAATATGCCATACGCCCGGATGGTATTTCTCTAATACCCTGGTCTAATGGTCTTCCGCTAACATGGGATTACACTTGCGTTGATTTTGCAGCCAAGTCTAACCTCTCATTTTCTGCTATCGAAAAGGCAGAAATCCTTAAAAAAAATAAATACGCTGGCCTCGCTAACACTTTGTTCATTCCTATCGTTACCAATACCCTAGGCATGTTTGGAAACGAGGCCCTCAATTTCATCAAAATCATAGGGAAAAAAATGAGACAGATCTCAGGGGACCCCAATGAAGGATTTTACCTTCGCCAGCAGATTTCCCTGGAAATTTGCCGGTCTAATTTTTTAAGCATTCATTCTTCTCTTGGATGATATATACCCACCTTTTTATTAAATATATATATTTTTTTTTATAGTATCCATTTTAATATATATTTTTTAATCCTCTGTAAATTATATAATTTATTTTATAATATTTTTTTTAAAAATAATAAAAAAGTCGAATATCAAAAAAAAAAAATATATTATATTCTCAAAATATTTTCCATTTTTAGAAATTAAATATTAGTTTTATTTTTTTTAAATGCAATATAAAATATAGTATATGCTCAAAATATTATTACCATTTTTATGAATATTAGTTTTATTTTTATAAATGCAATATAAAATATAGTATATGCTCAAAATATCTATTTTTATAAATAACAGTTTTATAATTTTTATAAATTCAATATAATATTCTCAAAATATTGGCTTTTTACATGTATTTTTTAAATAATAAACGATAATACTCGCTGAAAAATATGGTAAAATACCTCATAGGTGAATTTTTGTATATACCAGGTCGAATATAATTTTAAAAAATTCCGAGCCGGGCCTAAAATTTTTAAATCCGGGCCGGGCCGTAAAAAAATTTTTTAAAAAATATCCGGGCCGGGCCTAATAAATTTAAAACCGGGCCGGGCCGTGCAAATGGTACCTCTACAAGTCTCTGATATATGTAACAAATTATAGTCATGTTTTTATACAATATTTTATTTGTGGAAATAAAGTTACGTAAAAAAAAATATTTAAAAAAAAATCAAAGTAGTGTAAAAAGTAGCTAATAGCGCGCTACTCATTTGAAAACGATAGCGGTAGCGCTCTACTTTTAAAAGTAGCGTTTAACAACACTGGTTATATGTGTAAATAATTTTATTTTATTATGAGTGAATAAAATATTTTCTGGGCGAATATTTTTTATTTCATAATATTGCAAATTTTATATAAAAGTAAAAATATATTAAAATAAAGAGCCAAAGAAATAATTTTAAAAATTGTGCAAGCGGACAAGTTATACAAATTTTTTATATGTATAAAATTCTTTTAAACATGGGTTGGAGGACGAGTTGGTTAAAAACACTTTAAAACATAGTATGGGTGAGCTATCAGGTTAATACAGATCTATAGTCTAGTCCTAATAAATATACAAAATTTTAGATTTAATAATAACTATAAGATTAATTTTTAAACTATTTTAAAAAATTGTCCCCATCCAAATTATTGGATAGGTGCTTTGATATACATCATATTAGAATTTAGTAAGCCAATATAGAATTGTTTAATGAAATATTATCTGTGCAACCTTATAAATTGATATTATAATTTTGTACAAAACTTATTTACTTGTTACTATGGCTAATTGCATGCTTATTATTCTAAATGATAATAACATAATAATGAATAATTGTGGTATCTGGGAGCAGATGTGGATCTCATAAATATATTGCACTAATTCTTTATTGATATTTGGTGAAATCCTATAATTCATGAGATTTTATAATTGGTGTATGTTTTTTTCTCAGGAAATTAACATAACACAAGTTAAAAATTTGGAATTGAAAATGTTTTTTTATTTCCATGCCCAGGTAGCGCATAATATATCAAAGATTTTTCAAATATTATATAATTTAAAAAATTAAATTTTTTTCATTTAATATTATTCAGTTAGAATGCTGCCAACAGCTTTAAACCTTTCTTGGTAGGTAGAATTATAGTCTCAAATATCATTTACATATTTAATTTTTGATATACATGTTTCATATATAAAATGCAACATTTAAAATAACTCTTCCTTTGAGATGAAATATTAAATTAACGTTTAAGGCTAAATCATTAATTTAACAAGAGAGAATTCTCTCCTTTAGCAAATTAGTCAGCTTTCTTGACTATTAATATTTTTTAAAATAATTACTATAATTAAAATATTGAGAAATAAAGTGTAAACACAATTTTAAAATATAATCCCAAAGATTTTTAAAAGGGAGAAGGACTAAAGCCCTCCAATAATTTTTGATAAAAAAACTACCCATAAGATCCCACCTCTAACAAAATCCTGGATATCCTTATTAGCTACATCCAAATAGAATTTAATTATCAAAATCAAAGCTAATTTTTTTTTATAACTTTTATCTTTGATGCCAATTAATTTCTTTCTAAAATTATAAGTTCAAATTAATGTATGTTTTTGTTAAAAGATAAATTAAAAAATTAAGTATGGTTTTTACTTTTAAAATAATTTCTGTAGAACCCATTCAAATCAAAAATAAGCTATAGATAGGGAAATTTTCATATCTATAGCTTATTTTTGATTTGAATTATTAAAAATTCTAGAAATATAATATATGAGTTATTGATCTTGGAGGCAAGTTTTCATTTATTAAAATAAACCTGATGTTTGTATAATATTAGATAAATCAAGTTCTGCAATTTCTTTTGCTTCTTCCTTTTTCTTTTTCAAGAGTTTACATTGATCTAATGTTACATTACCTAGATAAAAAATAAATTTAATGTAAGTGTGACCATTGAATTAGTAGTATGGCATGAGCAACAGTGCAAATATTTATTCAAATTAAAAGGATTATAAAAATTAAAATAGCTAATTCTTTGTAATATTAATAGGCAATCCAATGTTTTTAAATAAATTTACAATTTATAAAAAATAATGCATAATAATTAATTATATTTAAGACTGAGGTTGGTTTAAAAAATAAGAAAATTAAAGGTGACAATATATATCCATCAAAATAACAAGGTTATTGGCATACTATACACCTATTAATTTAATAAATATATTTAACTAATATAATATGCAATCTTATGAATAAAATAAATAAGCATAAATATAACCTTCATCCATTTTCATTTTTTTAAATGATTCTTGTAACATGGATTTTAATTTTTTAATCTGTTGCTTTTCATTTTTGCAATCTGAAAAGAGAATATTATAATTAGTGACAAAGATGCCAGCAGTGCGTACATATTTTTTCCATCTATCAAGATTTGATTTTTTTGTTGATTTCTAAGATATATTTTTTGATGCATAATATAATAATATATCAAATACATCATACTTTACTTTCTTCTGAAAGTTTTTTTTCTTTTAAATTTATATTGGCAATCTTATGTTGACCTAAAGGAATATCATCTTCGATGCTTGTATCTGAAGTTGAGCTAGGTGATGGAGGTTGATTATCTAAAAAGATAATTAATATTAATAATTTGATAAATTTACCTTTTTTAGGCGACCAATTAACTAAATGGCTATCATTATCTTCTTTATGCTTAATTAATTTTGCTAAAGGTTCTTCCTCGTTTGATGATAAACTTTTAGATTTTTTTCTTTTTGCATTTTCTTTAGAATCTGATTCCGAAGACATAACGTTTGGTTCCATGTCAATTCAGCGAAACTTTTATCGCGAAACTTTTATCGCGAAACTTTTATCGCGAAACTTTTATCGCGAATGTCGTTTATCGCGAATGAATAGCGAAACTTTATCGCGAATCCACATTAGCAAATACTTTTCCGCGAAGACAATATCGCGAATTTTTTATACCCTTATCGCGAATCCTTTAAAGCGAAACTTTTATCGCGAATCAATAATCGCGATAGCGAAATCATTATCGCGGAACTTAAATCACGAAGACAATAACGAAAACTATTTAGGTAACAAATTATAAAAAATTCATAGGCCAGGCCATCTATTTGTTATTCTGGATTTTGAATAATTTGAACATAGCTGATCCACAACATCAACACCAACCTTGGTGAGATTGTAAAATGTGATAATTTCTGGTTTTTTCAAATCCCCAGTTGATGTATCAATATTGTTATCATAGTGAAGGGTAGAAATCATAATAATATGCTTATACTTTTTTGTACGATACTAATGTCATATTATCTTGGAAGGCAAATAAACTTGAATAAATATCTTTCTTTTTAAAATTAAATGATGTTGGAATATGCTTTTTATTTTTTCTTAAAGTTCCTAATATTGTTAATGAATGGGAATTTAATAAATGTTTAGCAAGTTCATAACTGGTAAACCAGTTATCTGTGGTGGCATCCCTATTACTCTTAGAAATAATCTAAATTAATCTTTCAACCACATCAAAAGGCTTATTGCTCAATTTATATAGTCCTTCAGGCTGATTGCCAGCATATAATTCTATTTTCAAAGTATAAAATGTTCTTGAATCCGAGAGAGCATAAATTTTTAAGCCATATTTTGATGGATTATTTGGCATGTATTGCTTGAAGGGACATTTCCCTCCAAAAGCCGGAAACATTTCATCAATTGTAACGTATTGCCCAACACTATAGCATTTATTAAAGTTTCCATTAAAATTATTAAAGATATCTCTGATATGTGTAGCTTTATCTTTTGCTTTCCTAATCTCCCTTGTATACATATCATCAAATCTTAGCATTTTCAATAAGAATTGGAATCGGTTAATATTCATAGCATACCTGAATACATTCACTCCAAATCCATCATTACTCCATAGATCTCTTAAATTCTGATGATTAGATTTATGTATACCTGCAATCAATAATAAACCTATCAATACATATAATTCAATTGCATCAATTTTGACATTAGAAGAAGAGGGAATTTTTGAATTATGATCTTCTATTTTTTGATTTGTCTATTTTATTATTAGATTTGTAACATTTGGTGTAATAAATAATTTATAGCATTCTAATGGTGAAGTTGCTTGTTTTGCATTTGATTTTACACCTGGCAAGCTAGAAATAATGTTATGAAATCTGGTTCTTTTTTGGGGAAAACTTGCCTTACTCCATTTAGTCAAGCCATCTTTACCTAAATTTATAATATAAATTATATAATACTAGAATATTAAACTGTAAAAATAATTATTATTTTCTTTTCCTTCTTTATCACTCTCTGTATCATCTTCCTCAGTTTCTGAATTGTGATTGCTATCTAATAAATAATCATCATCTTGATTCACAATCTATTTCACCTATGTAATTGTTATATAAAATATATAATATATAAATAATTTCTTATCTTATCTTATCTAGCACGTTGGTCATAGATCTGCCCAAAATGAGCGAACGTGAATTTTATGAAGGCCCACCCTTCATAAAATTATGCCGATTTTTTTTCTCAAGGATACCGACAAACCTTGTACCCAGTTGTAATTTAACAAAAATGAGTGGAACTTACCCTTAATATGAGATTTAGTAATGACTATTATAAAGAAATATAAATCTTATCTGTTTTTGAATCTTGAATAACCACATCAATAATAAAGAGTGAGTTAAGAATATTTAAATCCATAGACATCAATAATATAGAATAATGAATTAGTAGTTCCATTTCATTTGTTAAGTCATATTCTTCCAAAAATTGAACCGAAAAATTTTCGCATGGGATGGGTGGAAAAAATTCAAATATAAAACTTTCACTAGAATAATTCAAATTAAAAATCATATGTTAAATTTATTATTTTTTACTCCACTGAAAAAATAAATAATATAAAATTTTCAAATTTAAAGTCATATATATCAATCAAAAAATAGAAATAATTATATTTTTTTCAATTATATTTATTAACCTGACATACATAAACATAATTAGTAACAAAAAAAGATTACGTGATAACATAGGTGGGGTATATTTTACCCCAAGCTCAACAAATTGCATTCTCAAAAACTTTCAAATCAATAATCATGAAATTTGGAAATTGTATTCCTTGTTACAAAATATTAAACTACTGAAAAAACCAGGTCGGAATATCTTCTAGGTTTTGTATTACAAAGATTATAAAAGTTGTGGGGTCGTATTTACCCCACCTTTGTAATGAAGGGTTGAACAAAATATATTTTACTAATATCTATTTAATTAAATAGCTTCATATTTCCATATTAAAATAATTATTTCAATGGATGCTAAATTAAAAAAAATTGGTGAAAAGATTAAGAGCAATGAATATGAAGTAAGGGAAAATGCCAATTGCAAATCTGAGGTCTGGAAAAAGTTTTCATAAATATATGATGAAAACTGCAATTTTTTATTAAATTATTTTAGGCAAAAATCAACTAGAAAGGCATAAATGCTTATTTACAATTAGAGAGTAAAAGAAGTCATTTAACAATTGATAGCCTTAACTGATTCCAAAAAACTCAAAAGTTGTGTAAAATTTAAAAAAAAAATGAGTGTACAAAAGTGCTCATCATGTTTTGTGGACGTGATTTGAGATCATTTGATACATGGGAAAGTCTTTGTTGATTGTTGCCAAAATTATCTCAATATATCGAAATATTGATGTTAAAAGCATCATTCTAAATCCCACGACAATTTCTAGAAATTTAATAGATACTGCTGATGGTATACGCAATAAATTATTTCCGAAATATAACGCATATATGAAACGGGTGGATGTACTGATAACAAATGAAAATATGGTTAAATTATTTATAATTTTTAGATTCGATTGTATTTTAACTTTTTTATAATATTTTTTACAAATTAAACTTGATTAGATTATGGCGGTCAAATAAACTTTTATTTAAGGTGGCAATGAATAAATGCACATAATTTTTTTTTAGTTATTATAATATTCAAACTCATATTGTAAAATATTATTCGGGCTCGGGTCAGGCTCGGCTACGAAAAATTTTCTTTTCAGACCTCTAATGCTACTATTGTAATATTATTTTTATAATTTATTAGTGATTTTCAGGCCCAAAATTTTAAGCAAAAATATTTTTTGAAGTTCAAAAAGATTTTTGAACTATTTTGATTTGAAAAAAATTTTAAATCTTTTTTGAGGAATTCTTTTGTGAATTTTATTATAAATAAACAATCTTTTCGGTGAAATCTTTTATAGTTTTTTTATCATTTTTATAAAATTATTTATTTTTTAAGTGTCATATATAGAAAGTTGAAACATAAAAAATAAAATAAAAATATAAAGCAATATAATTAAATACTAAAATATAAAATTTAAATCTTTATTAATTACTAATAATTAATTATAATTAAATATAAAGGGAAAACATAACCAAAATAAAAGAAACATAAAAATTTATATAAGAAAAAGTAAAATACTAAAAATAAAAATTATATGCTAAAAAAAATAAGTTCTAAGTTAAAAAAAATAACAAATTCCAACGCATAATATTTTCTCAAATATATATACTTTTTCTTTAATATACATTTACATAGTCTCATTTAAATAATATAATAATAGACATTTCTTTCGTTTTTCTTGTTTTTGTTTAAAGTAGATTTGCATCTTAAAACACCTATTACAACATTAAGTATATTTAAAGAGGTGATTTTTCTAAATAATTTTTTTTTAAATATTTATATTAAACCTTTTTATGTTATTTTATATGATATTTTTAATGATAATATTTAAATGTGACAATTGAAATATTCTTTATTTTTTAAAATTTTTGCCATAAAGGAGTAAAAATATTATTTATATAGCAATAACAAAGATGTGAAATTATAAATTCAATGAAAATGTTCCTTGGAAAAATGACAATTATCATAATCGGCATTTTTTAAACATATTAGATTTTTTTTGACGTTAATAGGCAAAAATATGTATTTTTAACAAGTTAATAAAATTTTAATTAAGATCTATACTTTATAAAAGTGACAATTGTCATAATCGTTATTTTTTAAATTTTTTTGACGTAAATGGGTTATTAAATAAGTATTGTCAATATGTTTAAATAAAACTTCAGTAAAGATGTACCCTAGATAAGTTACAATTGACATAATCGTTATTTTTAGAGATTTTTGAATTTTTTGACGCAAATGGGTATAAAAATATATTGAAAACATGTTAAATGACAATTGTCATAATCGTTATTTTTAAAGTTATTTGAATTTGTTTTGACGCAAATGGGCAAAAATATAAATTGCTAACATGTTAAAATAAAATTTAACGAAGATGCACCATAGAAAAGTGACAATTGTCATAACCGTTATTTTTAAAATTATTTGAATTTTTTTGACGCAAATGGGCAAAAATATAAAAATTACTAATATGTTAAAATAAAATTTCAGTGAAGATGTACCATAGATAAGTGACAATTGTCATAATAGTTGTTTTTAAAGTTTTTTGAATTTTTTAAATGCAAATGGGTAAAAATATAGATTGTAAACATGTTAAATTAAAATTTTATGAAGATGTACCATGGAAAAGTGACAATTGTCATAATCGTTTTTTTTTAATTTTTTCTAGTTGATAATATTTATTTTCCAATTTACTAACAATTTTCAATGTTGTAGTGGCTACTAAGTAAACGTGTTATATTAATAATTGTATTTTTAGTATATTCTTCAATTATTTATGGGATTTTTATATATAAATTAAATAATATTCTACCATTAAAAAATTATTATATATAATCCGAGGCACAAAGAACTTCC